TCTTTCACTATTGACCTCATCAGATGCTAGCCTCTTTTCCAGGCCACTTTCCCTTCTAGCATTGCCCCCCCCCCCCCGGATATGTGCCCTTTGGTTCACCCACAGGTCTCCCCATTATCTATATCTGTTATCTCCTCACCTTCCTCTCTCTTTCCTTTCCTATTTATTCCTCATTCCAGTTTCCATCTTCCCATCTCCAGTCCTGTGTTGCCAACTTCTTAGTTCTGATTAATTGATCCTGCCAGTTGTTTCCCTATTTTGCTCCCTGTTTTTGATCCCCAGATTCCTAAGCATTCCTTTCTATCATAGGGTATATCTTCACTGGAGCTGAAGGTGTAATGTTCAGCTCAATACCCACACTAGTTCTGATCCAGCTAAAATAGCTGTGGAACCACAGTAGCATGAGTGAGTCGCCTTGAGTATATACCTCAGGTTTCAGATGGGATCATGCTGGGAGAGGCTCGCCTATCCCGCCGCTCACAGTATTGTGGCTACATTTCTGTTTTTAGGGTACTAGCTCGTTGAGAGTTATCATGGATATGTCTACCCAAGCTGGAAATTACACCTCCAGTTCCAGTGTAGACATACCCTGAGAGTGAGATATTGTACCTGTCACAATGCCCATGTGATGCTAAACCAGCAAGAGGGGTATGAACAGTGCACCCATCATGTCAGTATTTGAAGACTGGGCTAGAGGAAACTCACTTATGGTGTTTTTTGTTTTGTTTTGTTTTTTAAATGGTCCTAAGATCAACAGCCAAACAGCTGATACTTCCTATATCTCCTTTCGGTATATACTGATGATAAACAAACACATATAATATAGGTAACTGTAGTGAGCATCTCAAAAGGAGGCTTGGGCCTGGCTGACTTGTTTTCTTGTGATTTTTTTTTCTGTCTGCCTTGTTTTAAAGTATTAAAGGCTGTTGAGTGGTTATGGCCTACTAGATGGTAAAGCTTGTGCGGAGAGAAGGAAATTCACCTTCCAAGTCAAGGCTATACCTTGATTTTATTATTCCATTAAACAGATGCCACAAGAAACTTGGGCACATTGGGTAGGTAAAAAGTTACGTGAACAGAAGTTTACATCTTTCCCCTTTTTTTATATTGTCACTGTCTTGGATCTTATATAAAGATGTCAGCCCTGTGAATACGTTCAACAAAGACTTTATAAATAATGAAATTTCTTTTTTTTCTCAATGATGATCTTAAATCTTAATGCCAGCTAGTCTGCTTTGCCCAAAGGCTAGCTTAAATTACACCTCCCAAGACCAGGAAAACTTTCAGGGCTAAATTTTCAAATCGCGGCCTCTAATTATGCAGTATATTTCACTTAAATAGTGAAATTTACCTGCATGAACCCTAAAATTTGAGTCCACAAATGAAAGCATGTAAAAAAAAATGGCATACACAGGTGATTCGCATGTTCAATTTTCATGCACACTAATGGAGGCCAGGATGATGCCCTTTAGCAAACATTGCTCTTAGAATATTTGTAGACAAATCCTAAGATCTAAATTTCTGTTGATTTTAGTTGGAGCTGAGCATGCACAAGGACCTCAAGATTTGGCCCTTAGCCCAGTCACAACTCCGGTGCCCCACTCAATTTTTATTTTTAACTCTGCTCAGTGTGGCAGATGAAGAATATGTCCCAAGTGATTCTTCCAGCACCAGCTGAGAGACTCCTGGCTTATTTTTGTTCACATCAGCCACTGACACATTTTAAGGTGTGCTTCTCTGCATACAGTATTTGAAGAATCTATCTCAGATACAGGTGGCAGCTGGGCTTTGAAATTTTCTTGGCAGTCAGCTCAAAGTGTATGGGGAGTGGGCCTTTATGATAATTTTCAGAGTGAACTCTCTTCAAGTGGTAAAATCTTCTAATAGTGATCCCTTCCATCTGAGGCTTACAGAACTACAGAACATGCCCTTGGTCCACAAGCAGAGCGCCGATAATTAAATTCAAGGATCCAAGGAATACTTTTATGATTAATAAGATTAATGTTGATTGCGTCTACGTACTAGCTAGCTGCAATCTTTGTTGTGACTGCCAAAGAAGTCCAATCCCTTATGACTCTCTCATAAACTTGTGTGTGGTATTTTTCTTCTTGCAGGTTTAGTTGTTACAAATAGAAATGGGTTGTTTTGCATTTGAAGACAGGGCAGTCTGACTGGAACTTTAATGATCTTTTATTTATCCACTGCTGATTTAATGTGCAGAGCATTCCTTAGCAAGATCATTAAACACAGCATTTTATGTTCCGTCACATAAAATCAGATAAGTTTATGGTAGGAGGAAATCTTTATCTGTTAAGTGCTCTAACTGCTTCAGGTGCAAACTGAACTAAAAGAAGTATGCAACGGCAAAGCATGCAGACTCCTACACAGTTATTGTGACCATGATTTCAGTATATCAGGAGAACATTACACTGTATGCATCATTATATAAAAACTCATAGCAAGTTACCAAACCACCCCATTTACATAAACCTCAGGCTTCGACTGTCATGACAGTGACCTCATATGTAACCCTTACACCACTGTATCTGTGCAGGATGGGATCTTTCTCATAAACCACAGTGGTAAAAATGTTGTGGCTACCACTTTTTGCGGGTGTTGCTTAGTTTGTGTAGTCAGATTCACTCTCTATAATTTGGCGACCTTTAGTCTTTCCCTGATAGCTTTAGTATCTAGATTGTTTGAGACCCCGTATATAATACAGTCTGTTTTCATGTGGGCCCTCTTATTTGCTTAGTTCATGTGTTTTTTTGTTTGTTTGTTTGTTTTAGTATGAAAGCTTGTAATTCAGTTTCTTTTAACTCCCAGCCTTTTAATTTTGGGCAGAGACCATGACAATGCTATACAGGAGGCTAAATAGACCTCTTTGACCTTAACTAATCATGACATTTTAATCATCATATATAAAAATGATATTTATGTTTCTTGTCCTTAGATAGAACTAATGAAAGATTTCTCACAGTAGAAAACATTTTTCCCCTGGCATTTTTGGCATAAGTGTTTTCAGCAAAAGTACCTTCTCTTTGACTTTACTATCATTAAGTGGGACTGGAATGTAATTCAAGGGTATGTTGCTGAGGTGTAATCTTTGAACACTTCATATCTGACAGGCTTTAGCGTCTGCAGTTTAGACTATTGTTCAAAGAGCTAAAAGAAATGTGCTTAACGCTCTGGTGATCTCAGAGAAGAATGTTTACTTAAGTTTATTTTCTTCCACTTCTTACTGCATGTGTTCTTTCAGGTGAAAGTGTGTGTGTGTGTGTGTCTGTGTGTCAATATCTGTCACATCAGGTTTTGGTGTACCCCCGCCAACTCTCTGCCTGTAACATACAATGATTTAGTCTCCTGTCTAATTTCAGTGGTTGGGTTAGTGTGTGGGTAGCTGGATGGCATTGGTGGCCTATGTATACAGGTCAGACTAGATAATCTGGCGACCACTTCTGGCCCTAAATTCTGATATTAACTTACTGATCTTACTTGTATCATAGGTACATTAGTGTTTATAAATGTACTATTTTATTTAAATAGTCTGGGCCAAATTCTGTCCTCAAATATATATATTTGCAATTCCCGCTTGCATCCGTAAGAGTTGTGTGTGAGTGTGCATCTCCAAGCAGAATTTGACTTTAAATTATGAATGAGAAACTTAATGTTTAAAAAAAAATGTAAAAAGGAAACAGCCAGCACAGTTCAGGAAATATGGATACACATTAACACATGTAAAAATTCATTCTGCTGGGGAAACATGGCATAGTTTTTGTTCTGTTGATTTGTTACCAAATTTGATTGTTGGCAGGCAGTTGAGATGGTAGTACTTGGTAATGGTGCAAACTCAACAACAATTACAAAAATCTTCAGGAAAGTGCCTGTAAGTAAATAATGTTGGTTTTGCTACCGGTTTTCAAGTTAATAGTCACTAAAATGTAGTTGGAATTTCAGGTAGGGGAAGCATGATGGTATTCGGAATTACATGATTTTTTTCAGGGCTAATACTGTCTGAACTGGTTGGGCTGGAAAATATTGTTATACATCATTGGGAAGTTGGAATTCCCGGGTTTCCAACAATGTATATTAAAAAAAAAAAAAAAAAAAGCCAGAGAACTTAAAACAGTCACAGATCTGGTCTCTCAGCTCAGGAAACTATATGTAGGCTACTTACCAGACAGGCCAGGATGCTTTGTGGGTCAGTTCTCTGTTGTGCTAATGTGTTCTACATTTAATTTATTTTATTTTTATTAGTGTTTACTTCGGTATAAGTCTTGCTGAACACTCCAGACTCTTAATTCTGCTATTGTTGACACAATTTGGCTTGCAAGTTTTTGTCCCCTTCACAAATAGTGAAAGTGTGCCTTCTCTTGTGGAAGAAATGCATGGAAACTGGCTAATGTTACGAAACTTGTTATTCTATCTGTCTTTCGGCACATCCAAAACGATTAAAGGATGGCCACTTCTGTCTGTCTATAGCACATTGGTCCTGTTTTTATGGAGCTGGTGCAGTAAAATAAATAAATAAAAATTATTAAAAACAGACTACAAAAGGGTGCAGAAACCATGAAAAACACCCATTGTAAGGGTGTATTTGTGTTGCATAGATATATTTTGGCTTCCTTCTGCAGTGTGGAAGTAGGACATATATTTTATTTTTAACGCCCTGTCATGTTTCTGCTCTTGAAAGTTTTTGTAAGAAAGGGATCCTAACAAAGACTTTGCACTAGTTCTATTAATTGAGGCAATGTCCAGACTGCAATATGTAACAGGACATTCTATTTTAGCTGAATTTAAATTGAAATATGTAGGTTTTTTCTATAAATGTGTGGTTATCAAGGGCTGTTGAAACTTAATTACAGCAATGCATTTGACTTCAGTGTGTGCTTGAGAAAATACTGGGGACTTGGCTAATTACTTTAAAATGTATTATTTTTTAACTTTTCCATTGACATAAGGTTACTGAGAGCTTGTGTCCTGTTCTTTCTTCATTTCAGGTATGAGTCATGTCAGTACAGTGAAAGAGGAGGATTTATGTTTCTGAAGTGGAATTGTGTATGTGATCAAAGGATTTACATGCAGCTCTCTGTGCTGTAGTTCCTTCCTGCTCCAGGAGGGACACCTGGGGTGAGTAATGGGATAATTTATAATTAACTCAGACCTTTCTTTGGGAGGCCTGTCTCAAAACAGGAAGATATAACTCTCATGGTTTCAAATGGGAATAGAAGAAACTTCAGATATTGCAGAAACACCCTTTAATTATAAGCACCAACCTTCAAAGTTTACTTTTCCTCTTTACTAACAAGAGATTTTCTATAAAGAGTGGCATGAGGTTTTGATAAATCCCATGCATTTGAGCTTTCCAACACCCTTCAATGCAGCACTTTTTGTAATTTGGGTAGCTTTTATTTGCTAAGCAATCAAAGAAGTTGAACTGACTCAGTCCTAAGAGAAAACTAATCACAGTAGAGCTCAGGGTGAAGCCTAGGAGGTAGAGTTCAATCAAACTTTTGCATATGCTTATGAGTGTATCAGAAAGGTTAACATTGGTCAGGGATCTATCTGTATTGCAGCAGGGCTACATGTGTGTGTTTTCAACTAGTTGCTGATGATATTTCCAAAAATGATCACCTTACTCTGTTTTGGTCTCTCTTCTTCCCTCCTTCCTCATAGACAAGGTTGTGGGTACTCCTCCAACAACCATATCAGCTGCACTGGTTTAAATTTAACACCGGTTATTCTCACCTCAGGCATGCACCTTGGTTAAATATATCATTAAAAATTAAACTAAACTGTTCAAAGAGGAGTAGATAAGGTGAGAGATGGAAGGATGCAGTAGTAGAGAATAGAGTGGGTGGGGAAAATTTCTATTGAACTGTGATTTGACAATAAGTGACAACCATTTTTGTAAAATATGTTTTCTGATGGGCTGTAATTGAGAGTTGCAATGAAGGTGCTTCTAGAGCTGGTGGTGGAGGGAATATAGGAGGTAGAGGAGAAGATCCAGAGAGAAAGGTTTCTGCACAGGGAAAGAGAACAGAAGGATAGAAGTGCTTAGGGTGTAGTGGGAGAGCTTTTGCACTAGGGAAGCATGTTAGGTAACGGGAAAGCAGGGCTCTGTACCAAAGAAGGTGTGAAGAGATAGGATTCAGTGTGTCTGATTTCTGCCCACCACTATATTGTGAATGGCAGAAACCATTGGATAGTGGAGAATACAATTTGATTAATATAGTTTGTCACGTGTGCATTTAGATACCTTTCTCCAACTAGACAGTGAGAAAATCAAAATATGTTTCTATTGTACCCACATGTACAAAATATATCTTAATTTAGGTGTAGTTAAGGCAATGGGAACTATAGTACTTTCTATATTTTGTGTACGTTTTCAAGAGAGACACCATATACCACCACCCAGGTACCCGATCACGACTTATGAAGCTACATACCCAAGTTTGAGTGATTTGAGATATTATTTGAAAATTGAGATTTGTGTGGAGCCTTGTTTAATGTTTTGTACATTTGGTGACTTTCAAAAGACGTTACAAGAATACTTAAAAAAAAATTACTAACATACAGTAAATTTCTTTATTGTTCTGCTTGTTCGTGTTTTTTTTTTTTTTTTTTTTTTTTGAGGGGAGGGGATAAGATTTGGATGATTTAAATTTAGTTTTACAGGATACATACTTCAGTTTGTTTTTTTTAAGTAAAGTTATTGTATTTGCTCTTTCTCCTGTTGTAGTCAATGGGGAAACTACCATTGAATTAAATGGGACCAAGACCGAGCCCATTGATTTATGAAAGGATTTTTGTTACATTATTTTAAGTGGTTAATGAGTGCAATTATATCAGATATGCTCATATTTGGAACTTTCTGGTGCACTGCTCATTTAATAATGACCACTTTGTGGGCATTCTGTATAGGCAGAATATCTATCGGTGAGGTATGGTATTAAGGGTATCATTAGCATGAGATTGGGGTAGCCATGGTGGGCCATTCATAATGAATGCCAGTAAAATCTTTACATTACACCACTCCATCATGTGCCACACGTTTAATTGTTCTAGGAATGTTTTAGTGAGTGCTTGAAATTTTTCAGTGGAACTACTACTAGTATCCCTCCATCTGTAAAGCCAGGTTCTTTAGGTGCTATGAATACAAATTATACAAGGCTTAGAGGAGAACAAGAAGCAGTGGTCTCAAGTTGCAGTGGGGGAGGTCTAGGTTGGATATTAGGAAACACTATTTCACTAGGAGGGTGGTGAAGCACTGGAATGGGTTCCACCACTGGAGGTGGTGGAATCTCCATCCTTAGAGGTTTTTAAGGCTTGGCTTGACAAAGCCCTGGTTGGGATGATTTAGTTGGTGTTGCTCCTGCTTTGAGCAGGGGATTGGACTAGATGACCTCCTGAGGTCTCTTCCAACCCTAATATTCTATGATTCTATGAGGAAAAAAAACCCTGCTATTTTTTAATAACAATTACCTAAATTTTTTCATCCACAAAAATGTAATTAAAGTCAATATTTTGGAGTCTTCCAGAGCTAGAAGCAAATGGCCCTTTGGGAAGCTGGGACTCTCCCTTCTACTCTGGATGTTTCTATTTCTAGTCCTTCTACTCCATAAGGATTGGATGCCCTTGTTGTTGGGCTTTAATTGCTAACCCCATAGTTCAGTCTTTAATTTTCTGGGGTTTAATCTCTTCATAAAAAAGGTAGGTAGGTAATTCTATTGAATCTGTAAAGATGCTAACCTAGCATCAGATGGAAGAGTATGAGGGGTGATCAATGGTTCAAGCCCCTGGCTCTTATCTCTGGTCTTGTTTTTTTTTTTTTTTTAAATCCTTCTCAAACTAAAGTGATTGAAAAGCTTTCCAGATCCGATCATTGAAAAGATTTCAAGTGAAACTTTTGGCTCTTATAGCAGCATGAGATCATACAATGTGATATGAGCTGAATTGGTACCAGAGTTTGAAATGAAAACGAAAACATGTTCCTATTAGCCTCTCTCCGCTATTTTTCAGGACTGTGGGTAAAATACTGGCTTGCTGGTCAACTGCTGTACATTATGACTCCATAATTTAAAAGTGTAGAGTTTCTTTAGTATGTGTGAAGTGTGTGTATTTCTGTTTGCAATTAGTATGTTTAATTTACATCTACTCTGGTGACAAATGTTTTAGGTTTGGAAACTATTTTAAAACTTAGGGCAACTAAAGAAAATCACCGCAAGAGAGGTTTTACTGAAGCTGTGTGTATTCCTAGAGTTTCTTACAAATGCAATACAGCACTGGGGACACAATCTTTTCTTTAAACTTTCTATTAGTCTCAGGGTCTTGCTCCTTGTTACTACTCTAATTAACATTTATGCATGTGCATGAGTGTACACACGTGTGCGTATAATATGTACTAATGTATTAATTGTATACACACATACATGTGTACGTTTTATCTTTCTCATTAGAAATGTAAGTTCATAATGCCTAAATTACAGATAAGAAAATTACATTAAAGGAACTTTAATGTTGCAAAGTCAAGCACTCAAAAGTGCCAGAACTGAAATTGCCTAAGCAAACTTAATTCAGCCCCTTATACGTATGCATTATGATAGTGTTTTAATCACATGATCACAAGCTCCTATTTCATTCAGTGCACAGAATGGATAAGACTTATTGGATGGGTAGCTATTTGATATTTTGTTTTGTCATTCAGTGTGTGGCCCTATGCCTTATTTGCTGCACACTCTTCAGACCCTGCATGGAATGCAGAACTATTATTATCCTCATGGAGTTTTTATGGCGCTGATCATGTAGTATGTGAGTGCGTCACAGATAGGAATGAATTTGTCTTTACAATCCCCGCCCCCCCTTCATTCCCATGAGTTAAGGTTGTTATCCTACTTTTACAGATGGGATCTGAGGCACAGTGAGAGTAATGTCAAAAACATCTGCTGATCTTAGTGCCCAAACTCAGATGCTTTGGGTCTGATTTTTTTTTAAGTGTACTTTGTAAAGTATAGCACTTTATGTATTCAGAGCAGACCTCCCATTGACTTCAGCTGACCATGAAACCACCCTTCCTCTTCCTGCAGTACATTGCCTCATTCAGTACACACCTTCTGACTTTGCAACAAATGAGGTAGGGTTCCTGCAGATAACTGCCTTATTCACTACACATTTCTGATTTATTCTTTGGGCACTGTCCACCTGTGCAATGAATGAGGCGGGGGTCCTATGGAAAAATACTATGTTATCATGTTGTTAAAAATTATATCATGCATACGTACAAGGGGCTGGATTAAGTTTGCATAGGCAACCTTAATTCTGGCATTTCCTAACTTTTGAGTTGATTTGCAACCTTAATATTCTTTTTAATGTATTTTTTGTATGTAATTTCCTAGTTTTTTTAAAGTACAATGAAAATTGACCTCATGTTGACCCCCAAACTGGGTCGTCATCAGGATTTGGACCACTGCCACTTGAGGTAACAGAGTAACTGGTAGCAGTAGTAAACTGATATTACTCGAGTGGATGTGCCACACACTTCGCTAGTGCATGTCACAGATCTTTGCTAATAGCAAAGGAATATTGAGACTCAGAATCGTAGATTCAGCTCCAAGTTCTAGAGGGGAGTGTGCTCTCCATTTGATCCTGTCCGTCCCACAAGTCTGATCCTTTCTAACCTTATCTTCTCCAGCCTGTGCCTGTCTTAGCCTCTCCCTGCTTCTCGCTGGCTCCTGGCTCCACATCACCACATGAACCGCTTTGTACAAGGTGTGGACAGATCTAATATTGGCATAGCCATCGATCGCTATGGAGAGACTGACCACCGGAGCAACTAATGCATTTTCTGGGCTGTACTCAGACTGACAAGAAACCAGGATAACTGAGGCATTTAAGTGCTCTGAGAGTTGGACACAAACTTGTCAATAATCGATCAGGAATGAAAGATTAAATCGTGGATGATATTTGGCCACATTGTTATCAATTGATGTTTTTCTGAGGAATGGGCCTGCCACAGTTTTATTTATAGCAGCTGGGGATATTGTCCTCCCCAAGGGCAGGAAACTGACAGTTTCCACCAGCTGTGGACCCAGTTCTTCCCTGTTGGCTTTCTGAAGTAGGTAGTACAGTGG